GGTGACCTTTCAAATAGTTCTGTTCAAAAATGATTTCCCAAAATGAAACCATTTCTAAACACACACAGACCTATATCCTTGTATATTTATCCAAATTTGAAATTATTGGCACCTTCAGTTGACTCTTTTGTATGCTTTTATTTGAGAAGATACTCTCTCTACAGTTGCTCAGAGGAAGTTCTGCTCAAAAGTAGAATATTCTCACTTCTCCATTTTTTTGCAATTTAAAATGTGTAAATATTTTAGCCTGGCTATTTTCACAGATGTGATTCTTTTCACTCAGAGTATTTTCTACATAAAACTTTTTTTTTTTTAAATTCAAGCATAATGAACATACCTTGTTATATTAGTTTCAGGTATATGTTATAGTGATTCAGCAGTTCTAAACATTTCTCAGTGTTCATCAGCCAGTCTGCCCACCCACCTCTCCTCTGGCAACCACTAGTTTGTGCTCTGTATTTAAGAGTTTTTGTTTTTTGTATCTTTTCCTTTGTTCATTTGTTTTGTTACTTAAATTCCATATACGAGTGAATTCATATGGTATTTGTCTTTCTCTGACTTACTTCACTTAGCATTATGCTCTCTAGATGCAACCATGTTGTTGCAAATCGCAAGATTTAATTTTTTATAGTTGAGTAATATTTCATTGTATCTATATCTATATATATACCATATCTTTTTAATCCAGTGGAAAAATTGGGTTGCTTCTCTATCTTGGCTTTTGTAAATAATGCTGCAGTAAACGTATGGGTGCATATATCTTTTTGAATTAGCATTTTCATATTCTTTGGGTAAATACCCAGTAGTGGAATTACTAGATCATATGGAAATTCTATTTTTAACTTTTGAGGAACCTCCATAGTGTTTCCACAGTGGCTGCGTCAGCTTGCATTCCCATCAGTGGTGTCGGAGGGTTCCTGTTTCTTCACATCCTCGCCAATACCTCTTCTTTCTTGTGTCGTTGATTTTAGCCATTCTGACAGGTGTGATGATGAGTGATGTTGAGCATCTTTTCATGTATCTGTTGGCTCTTGTTCTGTTTTCTTTGGAAAATTGTCCATTCAAATCCACTGTCCATTTTTTAATTGGATTATTTGGGGGTTTTTTGGTGTAAAATTTCTATTTTTAATTGGCTTTAGTATTTCTTCCAATTTAGCTGATGCAAAATCATAAGTCTTCTCAATTTTTTTCCACTGAGGTATATATAAATATATTTAATTTAAAATAGCTCCATCAAGAGTCTTCCTATAAATCAAGATATACCCATTTAAACATTATACATTGGTTGAATTTACATCATTTAATTTTTTAGTTCCTCCTTTGCTGAGGTAAATTTCAGTGTCAACCTGTTCACGTGCTTTGTTGTTGTTTTTTTAATACGAAATTTATTGTCAAATTGGTTTCCATACAACACCCAGTGCTCATCCCAACAGGTGCCCTCCTCCGTGCCCATCACCCACTTCCCCCTCCCTCCCACCCCCCCATCAACTCTCAGTTTATTCTCATTTTTTTAAGAGTCTCTTATGGTTTGACTTCCTCCCTCTCTAACTTTTTTTTTCCCCTTCCCCTCCCCCATGGTCTTCTGTTAAGTTTCTCAGGATTCACATAAGAGTGAAAACATATGGTATCTGTCTTTCTCTGTGTGACTTATTTGTTTTTAATCATTGCAATACACTAAAAACTTTATTTCATTCCTTGAATTCATTGATTAAAGATTTTCAATGGACTTTGAACAAAACAAAAACAAAATATAGATCACTTATTATGAAAAACATTTAACACGATGTAGGACACAGGTTGATTTGCCTTGTAAATCAGCAGAAGCTTATCAAACATTTTTAAACTCCAGTTGCTGGTGGTCAGTCCAGAGAGATCGTGGTTTTTGCTTGGTTGTTTGTTTTTGTTTTTTGGTAGTGATTGCATATTTTTTGTTCCGTTTCTCTGATATACATAAGTACATTTTAATATCTACCCCTTTTATTTTTGATTAGTTGAAAATTACAACATTTTGATGAAATGATGATCTGGTTGTTTTTGGCAGCTCATCACCTCACCAGTGTTATACCTTCTTCTTAGGGTTTTTTTTTTTTTAATTTTTTTATTTTTCCAAGTTGTTGGAATATAGGTAGATATCAAATTTAACATTTTAGATCATTTCTGTGAGGTGGGGTGTCAAGTATGTGAACAATCTTGTTTAGAATTTAGTGTTTTGAAAAGTGTTTAAGTGCACTCCTTCTAAGTGCATTCAAAGTTGGGACCTTTGGACAGAAAGTTTTTGTAGGTAAGAGGAAGCTGTTAGACTTCCTAGGGACTTTGTGTTTATACTTGACCACATTGTAATCCATTCACCGCACTGATGCCTAGGTAATCTTTCTTAATGGTACGCTTTATTCCTTACATATGATGTTATATTTCTTTTTTTTTTTTTTTTTAACGTTTATTTATTTTTGGGACAGAGAGAGACAGAGCATGAACGGGGGAGGGGCAGAGAGAGAGGGAGACACAGAATCGGAAACAGGCTCCAGGCTCTGAGCCATCAGCCCAGAACCCGACGCGGGGCTCGAACTCACGGACCGCGAGATCATGACCTGAGCTGAAGTTGGACGCTTAACCGACTGAGCCACCCAGGCGCCCCTGATGTTATATTTCTTAAAATCCTTCATGACTTTCCATTACACTCAGAATTTTTTTTTTTTTTTTTAATTTAGCATGGCCTTACCAGAATTCTTGTGTAGTCTGGACTATATCTAGCCGTCGAACCTCATCCTGTATCATTCACTTCCCCTTCCTGAGCTCTAGCCACACCAGCCACCCTCCTTTTCCTCGGGGTCATTGCATTTGTTGTTTCCTCTACTGGAATTTCTCTTCTTCCAGATCTGTTCATCACTGGCTCCTTCTCCTAATGTAGGTTTCAGTGCAAATTGTGTCATTTCAGAAACAGTTTCTCTGAACACTATATATAAAGAACCTTTCCTTTAACTTACCTTCTATCACTAGTACTCAGTATTCTAATTTCTGTATGAAATTATCACTATTTAAAATGGTCTTATTTAATGTAGGAGCAGAAATGTTATATGTCAGGTTCAATACTGTATCTCCCAGAGCATACTAGGCACTTAATATTTGGAAATGAATGACTGTTCTGTGTAGTTTACTGTATCCGTATTTCTTCTTTGATTCTCACTTCCAGCTAAAAAAAAAAATTTATGGTATTTTCCTAGCATATTTTCAAAGCCAATATGAAAATAGCACCAAATAATTAAGGAACTTTATCTATTTTAATGTTTTCTCAAGACAGATAAATAATAATGGTATATTGAATTGGCGGCATACAAGTGGATATAAAATAAGAGAAAGATTTGTATTTTTGCTTCCTCCTGAAAGTAGAAAAGACCCTGGAGAATGGTTTAGAGTTCTCATAGAAATAATCCATGAGCTCTGCTACTTGAATAATTAGCCTAGACTTCCTGTTCCAACCGTTACCAGACTAGTCCTCCCATAACAAAACCAATCATAACAGCTAAGCAAAGCAGTTTAATGGCATTGGAGCAACTAACTGAGGGAGGACTTCTAGGAGAAGGTCATATCCATATAAATATTGGCTTTTTTCCTGAGGACATGTTTTAAATCATTGTGCAGGCAGAGAGGCCAAGCCTCAAGGGGTGGTCATTTGGGGCAGAGGAGACTATGCTCAGGTAGAGTTGCCAGAGTGGCTGAGGCATGAGAGACAAAATCTCAAGACAGGAAGGAATTGCAGAGAAATTTCTAAGCCCAGCAATTTATACATTTCCCTCAAATTGTTGGTTGATTCTGCAACTTTATGTGCGTGGGGGCAAGACTCAAGGAAACTTAGAAGGAAATCGTGGTTGGAGGCTAAAGGGCAAAGAAAAAAATGTAACAGCCACATGGTACTGGGGAGAAAGATATTAGTGTTTAAGGCTGCCAAGGTAAAGGGTGCTTGTTAACACCCCAGACTTCCAGCCGCGGTCCCAGAGGGCACTCCCTAGAAATAGAGGTAAAATGGAAATAGACTCCCCTTAAGTCTGCCTGCACTCAACCTGTGTTTCAGAAGGAACTTAACCTTTAGAAAGAATATAATGTTCAAAGTGTCTGTGCTTTTTCATTTATATAGTCTAGCTTCCAGTAAATTATAAGGCAGGCTGAAAAAAGTCAGGAAGATACCCTAAGAATATATAAGCACAAAAAAGATGTACATAAGATTATTCACTGTCAGAGTCTTTATTAATAGCAAAATATTAGAAAAATGATGAAGGACCACCAACAGAGGATTGATTAAATTATGTTTGTGTAATATAGTGGTGTTTTACACATGTATATCAGCATTTGGGGCAGGACAGTTCTTTATTGTATGACACTGACTTAACCATTCTCAGGCACGTTACATCTTTGGCCCTAACACAATAAACGTAAATTGCACCTTCAAGGTTCGATACAACTCAGAATGCTCTCACACATTTTCATATGCCTCTGGGGTGGGGCATTCAAATTGAAAATCATTAATATCATAGAATTTTGTACAGTTGTTTAAAAAAAAAATGAGAAAGTTGTTGATGAACCGATTATGGAAAGACCCCTGCAGTGTATCTTAAAATGCAAGATGCAGAGGAGTATGTATACTTTGCTATATTTTGTGTAATAGAGGAGGAAATAATAGATATTTGGATTGCTTATATATGCATAGTAATACATAAGAAACTAATGCAAGTGATTATCTGTGGGGCCTGATAGGGTGAAGAGACGTGAGAGTTCAGGGATGAAATCTATTTATTTACTGTATACTTTCCTGTATTGTTTTGATTTTTAAAACATGTGGATATAGTACCTATTCAAAAAAAGTTATAAATAATAATCTGTTAGATATAAACAAGCTATTGTGTTCGATATAATAATTTCTAAAAGAATTAAAGTTTATGTACTCATTACAAAAATGTTCTGGTCTTTTTCCAATTCTGTCTCCTTTGACCTTTGCCTTCCCTCAGTGGAGTAGGGCGGAACTGGGGCTGGGCATCTGCAGGTAGCAGCATTCTTGCCGAATTTGGTACACTGCACATGGAGTTTGTCCACCTCAGCTACCTGACAGGGGACCCCGTCTACTACAAGAAGGTCAGTTTTCTCGCCGCCTTCTCTTTGTTTATCATAAAAGAGTTCTTTAAGATTTACCGAACGATCGTTGCTTGGAAAATGTTTGCCTTTCCAGGAAGGTGTATGTCAGTACTCTGGGCCCCCCCCCTTTTTTTTTCTTTTTAAACTATCTAAAGGAATGTCCATTCTCTTTACAATATTTACTGTTATTTGAGAAGTGTAACCACTAGTAGTTTTGTGAAAATTCTGTTGCCATCTCTATTCAGCATAGTGTTGCAGTGTCCCTAGCCCCAGAACAAGAAAAACAAAGTGAACAGAAAGTTAAAGAATTGAATTGAATTGAAAAGGAAGAAGGAAAAAAATAATCATTCACAGATTACATGATTATCCACCTGAAATCTTAAAATAATCTGTATTTAAACTATTAGAAATAAGAGCATATTTACAGTTTTGAATAGAAGATCAATATAGATACGAAAAATCACCAGCATTTCTCTGCACCAACTACAACAGGCAAGAAAGTATCAATGTTAACAAACACATACGTGGTAGGAACTTTACGTGATGGGAACAAGAGTGTAACTTCCTTACAAATAAGCTTAACAAAAGATAAATAAAGTTCAAAACACTTGAATGACATTGAGGAGGACCTAAGTAAATGGAGAAGGATGTTCTGTTCATGTACAGCTAAACAGTATCATAAAAACTTTAGTCTTTTCCAGATTGATCTGTAGCGTTAATTCCGTGCCACTTAGAACTCCAGTGGCTTCTTTTAAAAAAAATGAAACTTGACAAGATTCTTCTAGAATTTATATAGAGGAGAAATGTGGAGTGGGTTTGCATTACCCATATCGACACTCACAGGGAAGTGTTGGTGCATAAAGACAAATAGACTGATGAACAGAATAAATGTTCCTTAAATAGATCCATATATATGTGGAAACATTATGACAGGGGCAGCATTGCAGATTATAACCATTTGAGGAGCATTAAAGGCTTAAATTTAAAAGACAAATCTAGTGAAGTTGAAAATACGTATACCCTGTGACCCAGCAATTCCACTCTTTGATATGTACATTTACATCATACTATACATAGAAGAATCATTTGCATTAGCAATTTATATAATAAAATTCAGTACAGCAGTAGGAAGAATTGAATTATATTTATCAATTAAAAGAATATGATACAACTTTTTTTAAAAAGTTAAAAACAAGCAGAGCTGAATAATATGTTTTGTGTGGGGATTCAGAAGTGATGAACATAAAACTCAGAACTGTGAGTACAGCCAGGACAGAGTCCGTGCTCTGTAAATGTATAAACAGTGCAGCAAAGGTGTTTGTAGTGTTGCATTTCTTATATTGGGATGTGAGTGGAATCTGTATATATTCCTTTCTATGTGTGAGCTGTTTTCATTGGTTGAGAAGAATTTGCAGGTGAAGACAGCAGTGAAGGAAGACACAGAATTTTTCTTTTCCTGATGAAATTAACAAAAATCTTAAAGACCGGCAAACATTTATCCATAGCAATGAAAGGAGGAGAGGCTGCAGTCTCATGTCATAAGTATGTGACAGCCAAGAAGCAGAAAGCTTGTGGCATGGTACTTAACGTCTGTTTCCCACCTTGTTCTGAACCCTTACTGGGCAAAGGAAGCACGTCATCAGATTCCTGGCACTCCCCATCAGTCCATCTCACAGAGGACACCAGTGCCGAGGGTGTGGGGTGTTCACTTGTCCACAGCTCCCGAGGGGTCTTGCCTCCATCTTCCCTGAACACTGGGACTCCAGATCTCAAATTGTGTCCAGGAGGGGAGGAATACTCCCCTCTCACCCACCCGACACAGTAGGGATGAATTCAGAGACACTGCAGCTGTAATATATCAAACCAAAGTTCAGGTCAGAGCCGACCCTGTTAAACGTGAGCAAGACGCAGAGGGAAAACGTGGCAAGTATATAAACATACTGCAACAGGGTAGTAACAAAACCGTGGTGGTAAATAGCATGTAAAAGACTGATAAAGAGCCCACTTTCAAATTTCATGAAGTCACTGTAATTTATACTATAATAGCAAGTGAACTCAGTAAAATTATAACTCAAAAGAAATAATGATACAAAAAGATTGCAGAACTGAAGAAACAAATTGAGATCTTAAAACGTTATATTTCTATTATGAATAAATAAACGAAAAACAGCAAAGCAGTGACTTTACATAATTGAAAACCGATTTACTAACGTGGAAAAGCAGGAGACCATCATAGTGGAAACCAAGAAAAAGCATGAAGAGATTAAAAGCTGATAAATGTATAAAATGAAGGTAATCTAGCGTATGGTATTTCTGAAGTAGAGGATCTGACAGATAGGAATCACCTAAAAGTGACAGGAAGGAGAGAGAGAACTGCAAATTCCCTTTTTAACAGAATTAAGAGATACTTGATATTTCACACCACAAAATAGGAGAAAAGGTTGCCGTAATCAAGGGCAGAGAGGTTTGGGAAACAAGAGAGGATATTTGTGGCTGCAGATTTCAAGAATAAAAAACCAGAAGAGCACAGTTCCCTGAAATAAATGGTATATCTAGAGGTGCAGAACCGAAGTCCTCATTAGCAGCATTGAGAACAGGGTCACGGACTGATGGTGGGTGCTTCTTTGGACCCTTCTACAGGCGTGTTGAGAAGCTAGGATAACAGAATTCTCAGGAAACTTCGGTGAGGGAAGAGAATGCATGACACATTTTCTTTTATGAGCAGTGCTACCGCATTGCTAGTCTCGGTTATCTGGGGAAAAGCAAAGGCGTCCGGTCTCTTCCTGGCCTTTTATGTCATCCTTGTGTAAATAGCTGGTTCAAGGAAAATAACAATGAGTAATTCATCAGGAGAGAACAAGGATAGAATTTATACAGAGGTATATTATCAGAAAAAAAGAGGGAAGGAACAGGATATATAAGAGATGCCCCAAAAATACTTCTCAGGAAATGGCAATTAAATCCTGACCGAACATCGCCATGAGAGGGAAGATAATGAAGCCCTCCTCTCTGTGAAACGAGTATATCAACAGAAATAGAGTGCTCAGAGACAGTTAAGATGTGCTGTCAGTAACAAATTGCAAGAAACAGTTACCGCCAAAAATGAAAGCCAAACTGGAAGCAGTACAAAGGAGGTGTTCAAAGACAATGATGGACTTAGAAGACAAAATTGAGACAAGCTAGTAAAGGTGTTGACAGTAAAAAAGAGATGGATAAAATATTCAGAAAGGAAAGGCAGCTGAAAGAGGCAGAGAGGATTCAACGTATGCCTAATTTTCAGAAGACAAAAGAAGGTAATATTTTATTATCCCTAATGGCATCATTTCAAACTGCCTAATCGTGGTTCACGGAATTATTCAGATTGGGATTGTACATAGAGTTGGTCTCAGCCTTGAAAGAACACAGACAACACACCATCCTTGGGCCAGTTCCTAAAACCGCCTAATGACAAAGTCCAGCCAAATGAAAGATGACCGGGACATTGTCCTAACAGGATTTGTGCTGTGCTCAAGCCAGAAAATAATGAAGTATATATAAGGTTCTGTGAAGATGTTTCCCCAAGTCATGCATACTGAGCAGGTTATCCTTCAGAGGCAAAAGGAACATTCTCAAATAAGAATACAAGGAGTAGAATACATTTGTGCACTCTCAAAATCCATCCAGTGTATAGATGAATGCAGATAAAGTCCCTGAGAAAGTTTCTAGCTTCTTAATGTATTTTTGTGATTTCTTTCCTCCGTAGCTTTAGGGAGATCTTTCAGGAATCAAAATTTTGGGGATTTTAGGAATTTTCAGGATTTCTATTATGGGATCGATATTTAGAGTTCAGTAATTTAGTTCACTTTTTCACCTATTCAGGTTAGTTTCATACTTCTTATTATAAATGTCCTTTTATGATTCCATTTCTATGAAATTATTTCTGTTTTTATATTTAGATATGTACATATTAAATGTGTCTGGAATGATGTGTATTACTGATGTTTCTGATGGTTATTTCTGGATAGTAAAATGTTGGCATTTAAATTAGTTTTTTTCTGTGCTCTTCATATTTTCAATTGTTTCTTGAATTTTAAATAATGGTGGTATATCATCTGGTAAAAATAACGAGTCATTTATAAAGTAGAAGCCTTTCCTGACCACTACCACTACCACCACCACCACCACCACCACCACACACACAGACACACACACACACACACACACACACACACACACACACGGGAGATGGTGTAGGCTCTGAGTGAGGAAAAACCACAAAGCCTAGTTGACATTTACTTTATTAATTGTATTCTTTATTTTTGTTAAGGTCATGCATATTCGGAAACTACTTCAGAAAATGGATCGTCCAAATGGTCTTTATCCAAATTATTTGAACCCAAGAACAGGTCGCTGGGGTCAGTGTAAGTATTTCTAGTACAGCCGATGCTATGTCAAAAGGTTATTTGTCTGGAGACTTGCTTGATGTAGTGAAAAGTCCATCACACGTATGGTTGGAACCCCTCAGCTTCTAACCCTGTGATCTGCTAGTGCCGTTACCTTTGGCAAATTTCTAATCTTTTGTCGCTTCAGTTTTTCTATGTGTAAATGGCAACACTAATAACCTGTGTCACAAGCAGTATTTTACTCCATTAATGTGTAAGTACTTTGTTAAAAATAGTGCCGCCTTTGCAAAAAAAAAAAAAAAAGGGGTTTCCCCCATTTATAAATCCTAGCTTCATGTAAATAAGAGCATTGCTTTGGATAGGTATTTATTAAAGGAATATGAAGAACAAACAAGGGTCTTAAATGATTAGAAAGGGGGGGCGCAGTTGCTCTTGGACAAGATTTGTCCAGTCATTTTAACAGAAGATACCAGGTCTTATTATTCAGATTCTGTGCCAAATGCTTGGATGAAACTAGAGATGAGGGATAACTATGTAGAACTTGGTCTGAGTTTAGGGAGCTCCCAGGCCAGCAGGGGAAGCAGACACACTTCAAAGTCGTTGGAGCTGGAATATAATGTGGTAAGTGTTACGGTACAGACATATACCAGTTGTGATGTGAGACTGGCAGAAGTGACTTCCTCGGTGAGGAGAAGGTATTTTGTTTGATGAGAGGGTGATGTTTTAAAGCTTTAGAATTGATCTTCGAAGGAATAGATTTTTTAAAAATAACAAATGTTGCGGCGCCTGGGTGGGTCAGTCGGTTAAGCATCCGACTTCGGCTCAGGTCATGATCTCACGGTTCGTGGGTTCGAGCCCCATGTCGGACTCTGTGCTGACAGCTTAGAGCCTGGAGCCTGCTTTGGATTCTGTGTCTCCCTCTCTCTCTGTTCCTCCCCTGCTCTCACTCTGTCTCTCTCTCAAAAATAAAGGTTTAAAAAAATTTTTTAAATAATGTTTATTTGGAAATGTGGAACTTGCAGAATTGAAATAAAATATGGGTTTACCAATGGTATTCTCTCTTGAAAGATAGAGAACGAAAACAAAGAGTAGAACGTGTTACTTTGCCCCTAGTATGACATAGTTGGGTTATTTTTGAGACTAATGAAATCATAATGAAACAGTAGAAAATGAGGTAAAAATAACAATCTCTTAATTTTATGTATGGAAAATAATGTTTAATCCATCAGTGAGAAATTATGCTGGTGTTTGCTACCAAGAGTAGGAAAACATTTGTCATGGAATCTTCGGGGCTCCTCTCAAGGAAATTGTCTTTTATTTTGTGAAAGGAAAGCACAGTGGTCAGTACAGTTGTGTCTTTCATGGATCTGGGAATAAATCTCAGTCTTTGGTTCCTCTTCTGTACTTTTCTTTTTCCTCTTCTGGAATTCTTTACATGTAGCTCATTTTTCTCTTTATTTTGAAGAAAATACAAGATCTGTGCCTCTACTGAGTGGAAATGATACTTTTTTGGAAAAAACAAAACCCCAAAGACAGCATTGCTAAAATATAAAAATGTGCTTTTCTTATTCCAGATAAGGATGACTGGTTTGGATGTCTGCTTAGTAACTTGGGTGAATTTTATTAAAATTCTGAAGTACATTTCCCTCCTAGAGTTTTATTAAGATTTGGGAATAACTCTAATATCAGGAAAAAATTATGTTCAATTCTTTCTTTACGTCATATGCCAGTGTATATTCTATAATGTAAAGCTTAACTTGAACTGTAAAAAATAACAACATAAAAATACTAGATTTTTTTTTTTTTGTAATCGGGAAAACCTTCTACTTAAAGAAAAGGTATCAGTTTTTACTATCCAAATGTTAACCTCTTACATTTCCTAGGAAAGGCAAATAACAAGCTAAGGAAATACATTTGATTGTATTTGGAAAACAGAGTGTTCATATCTTCTGTATATCAAGAATTCTTATAAGATAATAATAAAAAAGATAATCATCCTTAATAGAAAGATACACTGAGAAAAATTGGTTCATGAAAAAACAGAACACAAATGGACAATAAACAGATGTGCATTTTTAATCCTAAAAGTGGTGTTACTGAAGATATGTGGTATATGGAGACAATGTAATGTGACAACATCCTCTTTCTGTACAGACTGGTACTATATATATAAATTCTATATAATTTACTATATAAATTCTACTATAGTAGAATTTGCAACACTACCATCTTTGGTGTCCTATTTGTAGAGATCTTTGTCCCTCTCTTCCCGCTTCACCACCACCATAAATCAATGCAGCTTTTATTTTATTTATTTTATTGAAGTGTAGTTGACATACAATATTATACGGTTGACCTTTGAACAATGTGGAGATTAGGGGCACAGTCGGAAGTGGGAGTTTGACTCCCACCCAAAACTTAACTACCAGGAGCCTAGTAGTTGACTGAAAAGCCTTACCAATAACATAAACAGTTGATTAACACAAATTTTGTGTGTTATATTCTTAAAGTAAAAAATATCCATAAAATATTAAGGATATCACAAGGAATAGTAAATACATTTACAGTACTATACTGTATTGAAAAAAAATCTGTATGTAAATGGACCTGCACAGTTTAAACCCATGTTGTTCAAGGGTCAACTGGATTAGTTTCAGGTATACAACATAGTGATTCCCAATGCAGCTTTTAAACAGAAGACACTATTCTTAATCTATTAAATTAATAAAGGAAATGGGCATATCCCTGTATCCAGAGCTTCAAAAACTGAAAAATTTGTATGCCCTTTGAACCAGCGACTTATTTCTAGGTATTTATTCCAAAGAAATTTGGACATATACATACATATATATATTTCTACATATATGTATATACACACACACACACACACACACACACACATAAAGTTTATTTGCAATAACTTTGAAGTTATTTATCATATGAATAATTTGGAAACATTCTAAAGCAGTCTTGTCCAATAGAACTTTCTGTAATGAGAAAAATGTTCTATATCTGTGCTATCTGTATAGGTGTCACTAAATGCATATGCTGTTGAGCACTGGAAATGTTAGTACAGATGTAGAGCTGCATTTAAATTTTATTTACTTTTAGTTAATTTAAGTAAATAGCTACTTGTGACTAGTGCCTGTTGCATTGGACAGTGCAGTTTTAAACATCCTATGAAAGAGATTTAGTTAAATAAATTGTAGTACCTTCAGATATAATATACTATGCAGCCATTAAAAGTTAGGTTACAGAATACTTGGCTTAGATAAATATGTTATCTGTGTTTTTTCCTTAATGCTTGTTTTTATTTTCTTCTTTTTATCTGTATTAATCTAAATTTGATAATGGACATCTATCAGTTTTAAAGTAAGATTAAAAACGTTTTTTTAAAGCAGCTTTTGAGAAATAGCACATGTGCCATATAATTTACCCATTCAGAATATACAGTTGAATGGGTTTTAGTATTTATAACCATCCTCAACATCAACTTTAGAACATTTTCATTAACCCCCAAAGGAATCCTGTACCATTTAGCTATCACCCATCTATTTGCCTATTCCCCACTCTCCGCAGCTTTAAACAACCACTAATCTATTCTTGTGTCTCTCTAGATTTGTCTGTTCTAGACTTCTCATGTCATCCACATACTGTGTGGTTTTTTGTGATTGGTCTCTTTGATTTAGCAAAATGTTTTAAAGATTCTTCCATATTATACCTTGTATCAGTACTTGGATTTTTTAATGCCTGAATAATTCTCCCATTTTATGGATATACCACTGTTGTTTATCCATTCATCAGCTGATGACTTTGGGGTTGCTTCCACCAGGTTATTTTTCACTGTGTTCCTTTTTTTTTTATTGATTTATAGTTGACATACAATATTATATTAGTTTCAGGTATACCACATAGTGGTTCTGTGTTTTTATACATTATGAAATCATCACCTTGATAGGTCTAGTTACTGTCTCTGTACAAAGTTATTACTATATTACTGACTGTATTCCCCTATGCTATACATCATATTTCCACGACTTGTTTATTTTATAACTGGAAGTTTGTAAATCTTAATCCCCTTCACGTTTCTCCCATTGCCTCCCCCC